GACCACAGGGCCCCAGTGGGGCATAGGACAGGACCACAAGTGGCTGGTCTGAGGGGCAGGGGGATCCAGCTTCCTGTCTCTGCGGGCACTCCTGGTGGGGCAGGGGGTGCTTGTGCCCCCCAGATCTGTGCGTGGGGAGGGGGCGGGCTGCCCATTGTGGGCTTGGGCATCTGTCCTGCTGCCCTCCCCTGGGGCCTTTGCAGTGCAGTGGGCGCGACCTGGCACTGCAGGGCAAAGCAGGGCTGTGTGGGAAAGCTCGTTGCTGCTGCAAGCTCTGTGCTGCCCTGGCGAGGAATCCCTTGCATGTGCAGCAGCAGCGGGGGCAGTGGCACAGGGTTGTGCCCCTTATTGCTGTGACACACTCAGGGCACATGTCACCAGGGCAGCACAGAACTTGCAGCAGCAAGGAGATCCCCACACGGCCCTGCTGTTCCCTGCAGTGGCATGTCGCACCCATTAGGTTTCAGAGGTCCTGGGGCAGGGCAGGGCAGGGCAGGAGAGCGGGACCCTGAGCCTGCAGTGGGCAGCCCGCTCCCACCCCTGCTGCACACACAGATCTGAGGGGCACAGGTCCACCCCTGCCCGAGTTGGCCCACCCCTACCTGAACCCACAGCAGGCGGGAAGCAGGGCATGGAGGGGGTCTGGCTCTGCTCTGCTGCAGCAGCCACCACTTACTGCCAGGGTCAGGGGGCTGTGGACTTGGGTTCCTGGCCCCATAGCCCTGGCAACCTGTTGAGGGGAGTGAGGGGTCTTTCATTTTAATAATGGATTTTGTGGTTTTTATCAGACAAACTGATCTTTTCAGCAGAGGATTTGTGATTTTTTAATCAAGGAAAATCAGGATTCCTGCTTAGTAATCATTAAATGACTTTGGTTTTATGTAGCTAAGGGACCACCCATCTCTCTATAGCCCCATCATGATCCTAAGGTCAGCTGTGAGCAACCTCAGGTGTCTCATGAACACACAGAGCCTGGGAAACAAGCAGGAAGAACTGGAAGTTCTTGCACATTCATGGAACTATGATGGAATTGGAATAACATAGACTTGGTGGGAGCTCACATGACTGGAGCACTGTCATGGATGGGTGTAAACTGTTTGGAAAGCACAGGCAAAGGAGAAGACATGGAGGAGTTGTGCTTTATGTAAAAGAGCTGTATGATTGTTCAGAGCTCCAGTATGAAACTGGAGCTAGGATTGTTGAAAGTCTCTGGGTTAGAGTCAGGGGGACGAGCAACAAGGGTGACATTGTGGTGGGTATCTGCTATTGACCACCAGACCAGGAGGATGAGTTGGGATGAGGCTTTCTTCAAATAGGTAGTGGAAGTTTACTAATCACATGAGGAACCTCAATCACCCTGGAATCTGCTGGGAGGGCAGTAAGCAGGAGAACTTCCTGGTGCAGGTGATGGAGTGACCAACTAGGAGCCATGCTCTTTTTGACCTGCTGCTTGCAAACAGGGAAGAATTGCTAGGGAACAAAAAAGTGCATTGCAGCTTGGGCAGCAGCAACCATGAGATGATTGAGTTCAGTATCCTGAGGGAAGGAAGAAAGGAGAGCAACAGAGTATGGACCCTGGACTTCAGAAAAGCAGCCTTTGACTCACTCAGGAACTGGTGGGCAGGATCCTCTGGGAGGTCAGTTTGAGGGGGAAAGGAGTCCAGGAGAGCTAGTTGTATTTTAAAGAAACATTACTGAGGGCACAGGAACGAAACATCTTGATGCACAAGAAAACTAGCAAGCCTGGCAGAAAACCAGCTTGACTTAGCAGGGAATTCTTCAGTGAGCTAAAACACAAAAAAGAAAGCTTACAAGAAGTGGAAACTTGAACAAACAAGTAGGGAGGAGTATAAGAGTATTGTTCAGGCATGCAGGGATGAAATCAGGAAAGTCAAAGCACAATTGGAGTTGCAGCTAGCAAGGGACATGAAGGGTAACAAGACGGGTTTCTACAAGTATGTCAGCAACAAGAAGAAGATCAGGGAAAATGCGGGTCCCTTACTGAATGGGGTAGGCAACCTAGTGACAAATGCTTTGGGAAAGGCTGAAGTGCTCAAATCCTTTTTTACCTCAGTCTTCACAGGGAAGATCAGCTCCCAGACTGCTGCACTTGGCAGCACAGTTTGGGGAGGAGGTGAACAGCTGACAGTGGCAAAAGAATATGTTAGGGTCTATTTAGAAAAGCTGGATGAAAACACGTCCATGGGGACAGATGTGATTATAGCAGTGACCTGGCTGAGCCCTGTACTTACTGGGGCGATGACTGCATGTGTGCTCCACAGGTGATGGCCTGGTGGAGCACACCGGCCGCTTTTCCAACCAGCCTGGTGGAAAAGCGTTGAGCCCATGAGATGCCAGGACACTCGGCTGCTTCCCCGACCCTGGGGTGGGATGAGCAGTTGGCAGGGTGCGGGCTCACCATTGGCCCCTTTTCCAGGGCAGAGTGGAAGCCAGAGCCTGGGCTCTGTGCAAACATGGAGTCCAACCAGCCAAGTGGGCAGGTGGCAAGAGTGAACAACTCCACCCAGGGCCCCAGAGCCACAGGTGCAGGAGCTGATGAGCCCATCTGAGGATCTCAACACCTGGCAGCAGGTGCAAGGCACGTGGGGGAAGGCAGGGATCCAGGTTGGCCCAAGCTAACCCAGAAGTTCCTGTATAAGAGAGCACCAACCTCAGAGGAGCGGGGAACACCAGCACAGGCACTAGCCTACACCATGTCTCCCCACTGGAACCCAGGATCTGGATTGAGGACCTGTGAGCCAAGAACCCTCCAGGAGGAACCCTGACTTTCCCATAGCTGACGAAGGTCAGGTACACACAGGGGTCACTCAGAGGTTCATGGGTACTGGTGGCCTCTGAGTATTCAAAAGGGCTTGGCCCAGGTCAGTCCAGACCACTTGGACTTAATTTATAAAGAGGGGAGGATAAGCCCTGAAGCGCACTGCCTGCCTTGGGAAAGGCAACTGAGATATGCTGATGGGCTGACAAGAGGCCTGAATCAGGCACAAACAACATTATCTAAGTTATAGTTGTGTATTGGTTTCTCTCCCTTGCAGACGCATGTGCCTAACAATCAGAGCCAGACACCAAATGAGATCAGGCACCCAGACCAATTACCAAAAACACCTGAGGTGGAGCCCCACAGAAGACTCATAAGCAGCAGGACCCACATTGTCTCTATGAACCCCAGATTACTAGGTACCACCTCCTGACAACATTTACAGTAACACCAAGTCATAGCAGGCGAGCTGTAGAAACAGAGGAAGTAGGCATCTGTGAAGTGGGCAGCACCTGGGCCTCACCCTGATGGGGCTGCTCAACCAGGGTCCCTCTACAGCAATGCACCTGAGGGTGCTGAGAGAATTGGCAAAGCTACTGGCTATTAACTTTGACAACTTGTGGCAATCGGGAGAGGTCCCAGATGATTGGAAAAGGGCAAATATAGTGCCCATCTTTAAGAAAGGTAAGAAGGAGGATCCAGGGAACTACAGACTGGTCAGCTTCACTTCAGTTCCTGGAAAAATCATGGAGCAGGTCCTCAAGGAATCCATTTCTAAGCAATTGGAGGAGAAGAAAGTGATTAGAACTGTTACCATGGATTCACCAAGGGAAAGTCATGCCTGACCAACCTGATTGCCTTCTATGATGAGATGACTCTGGATGTGGGGAGAGCAGTGGATGTGATATACCTTGAATTTAGCACGGCTTTTGATATGGTCTCCCACAGCATTCTTGCAAGCAAGTTAAGAAAGTACAGGTTGCATGAATGGCCTGTAAGGTAGATAGAAAGCTGGCTGGATCTTTGGGCTCAAAGGGTAATAATCAATGGCTTGATATCTAGCTGGCAGCTGGTATTAAATGGAGTGCTCCAGGGGTCAGTCCTGGGCCTGGTTTTGTTCAATGTCTTCATCAATGACCTGGAAGATGGCATAGAGTGCACCCTCAGCAAGTTTGCAAATGACACCAAACTGGGGGGAGCAGTAGATATGCTGGAGGGTAGGGCTAAGATACTGAGTGATCTAGACAAATTGGAGGATTGGGCCAAAAGAAATCTCATGAGGTTCAATAAGGTCAAGTGCAAAGTCCTGCAGTTAGGACAGAACAATCTCATGCACCGGTACAGACTGGGGAGTGCATGGCTAAGCAGCACCTCTGCAGAAAAGGACCTGGGGGTTATAGTGGACAATAAGCAGAATATGAGCCAACAGTGTGCCCTTGTTCCCAAGAAGGCTAATGGCATACTGGGCTGTATTGGTAGGAGCGTTGCCAGCAGATTGAGGGAAGTGATTCTTCCCATCTATTCTGTACTGGTGAGGCCACATTTGGCCTACTGTGTCCAGTTTGGGACCCCCACTGCAGAAGGGATGTGGACAAACTGGAGAGAGTCCAACGGAGGGCAACAAAAATGGTTATGGGGCTGGGGCACATGATTTATGAGGAGAGACTGAGGGAACTGGGTTTATTTAGTTTTGAGAAGAGAAGATCAAGAGGGGATTGAATAGCAGCCTTCAATTATGGGCAAGGTGGTTCCAAAGAGGATGGAGCTAGACTGATCTCAGGGGTGGCAGATGACAGAACAAGGAACAATGGTCTCAAGTTGCAGCAAGGGTAGTTTAGGTTAGTTATTAGGAAATACTTTATCACTTGGCGGGTAGTAAAACACCTGAACAGGTTCCCCAGAGAGGTTGGGAAATATCCATTCTTAGTGGCTTTTAAGACCAGGCTAGACAGAGCCTCGTCTGGGGTGAGATAGTTGGGGATGGTCCTGCTTTGAGCAGGGGTTTGGACTAGATGACCTCCTGAGGTCCCTTCCAACTCTAATTTTCTATGATTTCTATTATTTGCATCATCTCCTGTAATGACCATCAGTATCTGAAGTCTGCTTGGTGAAAACACATGGACACATTTTCTCAGCAGGCGGTCCTCAGTCCTGGAACGCCATTCTCTCTTGAAGCCCACCAGATCCCAAGCCTGGACATTGTTCAAAAAGAGCTGAAAGATCTTTTTATTTGGGCAGACATTTAGCAAACACAGCTAGGCTGAGATGTTGTTTAGTGGGTCTCTGTTTTATCTGATATTTTAGTTGCCCTGGGAGCTGCCCTGAGCCCTTGTTGGGAAGGGCACCATATACATTGCATAACTTACTAATGAGATCCTGAACTGAGGCCACCCCCATAACTCCAAGGAGGATGCTGTTACACCAGGTTCTGTATCTTCACTGGCCCAGTTCTGTAAGAGGAGGAGGAGGAGTCATATAGCTGGAACAGTCACACTGACTCCCTATAGCATAACTGCATTTTCCAGCTGCTTGAGTCAGGCCCAGGGGGACTTTGAAGCACTGGTATCTGCATTGACCCCTGCATTGGTGGCATCAGTTTAGGACAGCAATAAGCTCCCCTTTTGTTGTGCCCCCATTTGCCTGGAAATACTTTGTAGCTTCATGACCAGCCTGCAAGGTCCAGGCTGCAGAGCACACATAGCTCACTTTGGGCCTCCCCAACACAAAACTCCCATCCCTTCTTTTATTCCTATGGGGACTAAGAGCAGCAGACTTGAAGTGCTGCCTTTGTTTGCAAAAGGCAGTGGCAGGCCTTGCTCTCAGAGCCACTCTTTCTTTGCTGGAGGCTTCAGGGAGGAGGGGTTGCCTTTGAAGCAGATGGTGCTTATTTGGTGATTTTTGGATGCCAGACGTTCCTAGAAAGAAGGTTGATGGGGGCAGGGAGAGCTGCTGTGTGTTGGGGACAGTCTCTTTTGCTGCTCTGTGCAGAGGAGTTCCTGCATGGGGGAGGGGTTGCTATTGAGACATTTGCTTCTCACGTGGTTCGTTTCCAGATGAGCTGCTATATAGGATTACACTGCTATTCATCTAATTTAAATTGTATTTGGAGCACAGAGACAGTGTCTCCTTGCTTAGAGGATCTATTATGCATAAACTGCTCACAAAGGCATCTTCCTGATCTAGCAGGGAGGGTGTCCATCAACCAGACATAATCCTGTTCTGACTTCAGCGTCACTAAAAACAGAAAGGACTTGTTCTTAGAATTTAGCCATAGTCAGACAGCCCATTGTTTAACTCCTGCATCCCTGGAAGAGTCAACAACTGTTGATGGTTTCCATTTATTCATGCATTTATTTATTCAGCACTGTGCATTTACAGAAACATGGAGGTCACACAGGTCTGATTCACTGTCACCTTGTGCTGGTGTGCTCACTCACAGGGTACAAGGAGAGGGCAAACCCTGCCAAATCACAAAAGTTGTATCTTATACTGACCTGGCACCTGGGTTCGCAGGTTCACAGGCTGTACTACGTGCCAGCTCAGGAACAAATAGGTCCAGAGGCTCTGCCCTGCAGACTAAAGAAACATTAACATTTGTTTTTTTGTGCATTGTTTATCCTAGAAACCTATACCACCTTAATACTTTCTCTCGGGTTACTGTGATATCATCCTTCAGCACCAGGGTAATTACAGTGGTAGTAAGATGTTTTTATACTACTTTTGCCATGCCCAAATTGAAAGGGTAATAGTTGGAAGCTAGTCTTATACCAGCTTAACTGTTGTCAGTATAACTAGTTTGTTTAAAAATATACATCCCTAACAAAACAGATATACAGGTGAAGCATCCCAGCATGCACCAGACTGGAACAGTTGCCAACATCCAGTGCTGTCAGTCAACACTTGGTGATAAGAACAAGGATGTGCCTTTAAACTCCAGTAAAAGGATAGGGTGACCATAAGGAAATCTGGGTCATCTAGGACACTGCACCCCACTCCCTGAGTTAGGGGTGCTCCTGTAGGCAGTGGCAAAGGTTGGTGGGTAGGGGAACAGGTGCAGTCTGGAGGGGAGGTGGGGCTGCATGGCGCACCATGCCTTTCTGCCTCTCCACTAGACTGTGCCCTGTGCCCCTGCAATTCTAGGACTTCTGTTTAAATTTTGACCAACCAGTCGGGACTGGCCTATGAAATCTGGGATTGTCCTGGGCAAACCGGGACATATGGTCAGGAGAACAGGCAAACCGGGACATATGGTTCAGGAGAACTTTCTGGTGAAGCTGAGGAGATAAGTCTTAAATTTGAAAACAGGAACATTTTCTCCTTATAGGGCTTTGTGAAAAATACCAGGGGTGCATCAATAAAGATTTTTGGGGCTGATCCTGATGGACAATTATTGACCAGCCATATTGACTGATACAGATCTGATTGCCAATATGCAGCCCAGCAGTTGGAAGGCAGAGTCTGGCCGGTAAGTCTGTTGGGGGGAAGAGGCAGGGGGAGGGAAGGGCTGTGGGGGATCAAGGCCTCTGTGGTGAGGGAGGGAGTGGGGCTGAGGCAGGGGCAGGGATGGAGCGGGGTGCAGGACAGAACCATGGCTCATTCGGGGGAGGCACAGGGGGCAGGGAGGGAGCAGCTCCCGCCACTGTGTGCACCCCCAAGGAGACATGGGGGGCATGTGTCCACCAGATCTATGTCTGGGGCGAGGGTTGACTGCTGCCATGCTCAGTGCTGGGGCTGTGCCAGCCTCTTCCTGGTGGGGGGAGGGTTGCTGGGTCTGGGCTCTGCTCAGGCCAGGTTGGGGTGGAGTGGGTGGTGGTGGTGCTGGGAGGGTGGCTACAGGAGGGGCTACAGCTATAAGTGAAACCTGCAAGGCCTTTTACAAACCGTTCTCCTGCAGTATTACAGTTGAACTCTCTCAGGAAGCACACCGGAAACATTCAATATGCTGCTGGTTTGGGTTTGCTCCCTTACTGGTTACAAGCTCTAAAAAGTATCTTAGATTGTTTAGCACACTTATAAATGTACTATCATTGGCTCCAGTCTTACAGCCAGAAAGTGATGGTGTTTCCACAGCAATGGACTTCAGTATGGACTTCATTCACTAACAAAGGTAGCTTTGTGAAATGCCATAACGTATTTTTTAGAGGTGCACTGATACCTTGCTCCATCTCATATCAGCAGTGATAAAAGGAAAATTGACGTTATTGGCAATTGACTTTTTTTGACTGATGTGGCTGATAATGTCACTGATAAATGCTGCATGCCTGTGCGCAGCTGCAGCATGCATGCAGAGAGGAATGCAGCCTCGCAGCTTGGAGAACAGCATCTGGCTGGTAGGTCTGTGGGGGGACAAGGGGAAGGGGGGAGGGGGAGGGAAGGGAAGGGAAGGGGCATGGGGGGAGCAGATCGAGTGTCCCATGGTGAGGGAGGGAATGAGGCTGAGGCTGGGGCAGGGCAAGGGAAGGTGCTGCCCCAGCTGGGGCGGGGTGCAGGATGGAGCTGTGGCTCGTTTGGGGGGCGGGGGGGGGCTCCCAACACTGCCCCCACCCCTGGGGGGGGCAAGAAGGGCATCTGTCCACAGATCTGCATGTGGGTTGAGGGTGGGCTGCTGCTGGCTGGCTGGGGCACAGGGTGTCTCAACGCAGGGACTCTGCATCATGCAGAGATGAGGGAGCAGGCAGCCCTGGGGTGCCTACTCCCCTGCCCCTGTCTCCACATTTGTCCTGGGACATGGCACTTTGGCTATTTTGGACCGTTTTTCTTTTGGGGGCAGGGGGTTGGGGGAGAGGTTTGCTACCAGGAAATCCCAATAGCAAATTTTGCCCCAGAACTGCAAATTAGCAGCGCTGCTCCATTCTCTTTAAAGTCATTTAATGTCATGCCCATTATGGGACAGGGAGGCCCGGGGGAGGGAGATTCCCTGCCCTACATCAATGCTGACCTCATAAAGGAACACCTTGAGAGGCTGAGCACCTTCAAGTCAGCCAGCCCTGACAATCTATACCCCAGGGTACTCAAGGAGGTGGCAGGCATCATAGCCCAGCCCCTGGCACGGATCTTCGAGAACTCCTGTTGCTCTGGTGAAGTGCCCGAAGATTGGAAGAAGGCCAATGTGGTTCCTATCTTCAAGAAAGGGAGGAAAGCAGATCTGGCAAACTACAGGTCCATCAGCCTGACATCTATCCTGGGCAAGGTCTTGGAAAAGATTATCAAAGAGGCCATCCTTAACAGAGTAGCTGATGGCAATATCCTGAGGGATACCCAGCATGGGTTTGTTGCGAGTAGGTCTTGCTTGAACAATCTCAGTAGATCTTGCTCGAGCAATCTCATTTCCTTCTACGACCAGGTGACCTATCACCTGGACAAGGGAGGGGAGATTAATGTCATATATCTTGACTTCAAAAAAGCCTTCGATCTGGTATCCCATGAT